TTTTCTTTTCCTTTCCCCAAACGTCTCGCTTTTTAACTTTATTTTCCTTTATTCCTCTTTCTTCTTTCCGGGGTTTTTTGCGCCCGGTTTTAATTTTTCTCTTCCCTTTTTGGTTTTGGTGCCCTTGGTTTTCTCATTCATTTTGTTTTTTGCTTTTTTCCTGTTTTTTTCTTCTTCTCTCTTTTGGGGGGCCCTAAAGGCTCCGGGGGGGCAAACGGGTGGGGGGGCAAGGGGGGAGGGGGGGGGGCGGGCGCCAAAGGGGGCGGGGACGGCGGCGGGGGGGGGGAGGCGGGGGGGGGGGAGAGGAGGGGGGGCGGGGGGGCGGGCAAAGGGAGAGAGGGGGAGGGGGGCGCGGAGGAAAAAGGGAGCGGAAAAAAGGAGGCCAAAGCGGTTTCAAAGCAAGACTCCCCCCCCTCCCCGGGGGAAAAACCAAAAAGCCGGGGGGAAACCATCCCCTCCTATTCGTGCCTTTTTCCCCCCACCCAGGCCCTCTCGCTGCCTCGATTTGTGCCTCCTTTCCGCCCCATGCGATCCCGTTTTTTGGCTATTCTCCTCCCTCTCTACTTCTCCCTCTTACGCCGTTCGATCTCTTCCGTTTTGCTCGTCATCCCCTTGTCTCCAACCCTTTCCCCCCCAAAAAAAAAAGTCCTCATCCCTTCTGGCTATTTTTCCCCTATTTTGTCCTCTCTCTTACTTCCCTGTCGTCTCTCTCTCTCTTCCCCCCTCTCTCTGTCTCTCTCTCCCTCTCTCTCTCAGACCGGCTGGTGGGCTAACGTGACAAACTGGGTCATCGTTGGCACTCCAGTCGATTTCACATCCAACCTACCCCCTCACCACCACCCACCATAGTCTGCCTGTCTGTCTCAAATGCCACCATCACACAACCATCCCACTGAAACCCAATTCAACTCCTCTTTCACCAATGTACCTTCCTATAGTCCCGTTACGCTATGCTACGTTACGCTATATGGACTAACTATGTTATGAACGTGTAGGTCCCGTGTAGCTCAGTTGGTAGAGCATAGCATTTGCAACGCCAGGGTTGTGGGTTCAATTCCCACGGGGGGCCAGTATAAAACAAATATTTTTGCTGAATTCTGCATGCAGTCTCAATTTGGTGTTTGTCCCATTTTGTGAATTCTTAGTTGGTGAGCGGACCCCAGACCTCACAACCGTAGAGGGCAATGGGTTCTATAACTGATTCAAGTATTTTTAGCCAGATCCTAATTGGTATGTCGAATTTTATGTTCCTTTTGATGGCATAGAAGGCCCTTCTTGCCTTGTCTCTCAGATCGTTCACAGCTTTGTGGAAGTTACCTGTGGTGCTGATGTTTAGGCTGAGGTATGTATCGTTTTTTGTGTGCTCTAGGGCAACGGTGTCTAGATGGAATTTGATTTTGTGGTCCTGGCAACTGGACCTTTTTTGGAACACCATTATTTTTGTCTTACTGAGATTTACTGTCAGGGCCCAGGTCTGACAGAATCTGTGCAGAAGATCTAGGTGCTGCTGTAGGCCCTCCTTGGTTGGTGACAGAAGCACCAGATCATCAGCGAACAGTAGACATTTGACTTCAGATTCTAGTAGGGTGAGGCCGGGTGCTGCAGACTGTTCTAGTGCCCTCGCCAATTCGTTGATATATATGTTGAAGAGGGTGGGGCTTAAACTGCATCCCTGTCTCACCCCCCGGCACTGTGGGAAAAAATGTGTGTTTGTTGCCAATTTTAACCGCACACTTGTTGTTTGTGTACATGGATTTTATAAAGTCGTATCTTTTTCCCCCAACACCACTTTCCATCAATTTGTATAGCAGACCCTCATGCCAAATTGAGTCAAAAGCTTTTTTCAAATCAACAAAGCATGAGAAGACTTTGCCTTTGGTTTGTTTGTCAATTACATGTACATAAAAAAAAAGTCATTTAGCAGACGCTGTTATCCATGCATACATTTTTCATACTGGCCCCCCGTGGGAATCAAACCCACAACCCTGGCGTTGCAAGCGCCATGCTCTACCGGTTGAGCTACAGGAGGCGTGCAGTGTGAATACGTGGTCTGTCGTACGGTAATTTGGTAGAAAGCCAATTTGACATTTGCTCAGTACATTGTTTTCACTGAGGAAATGAACTAGTCTTCTGTTAATGACAATGCAGAGGATTTTCCCAAGGTTGCTGTTGACGTATATCCCACGGTAGTTATTGGGGTCAAATTTGTCTCCACTTTTGTGGATTGGGGTGATCAGCCCTTGGTTCCATATATTGGGGAAGATGCCAGAGCTAAGGATGATGTGAAAGAGTTTAAGTATAGCCAATTGGAATTCGTGGTCTGTATATTTTATCATTTCATTGAGGATACCATCAACACCACAGGCCTTTTTAGGTTGGAGGGTTTGTATTTTGTCCTGTAGTTCATTCAATGTAATTGGAGAATCCAGTGGGTTCTGGTAGTCTTTAATAGTTGATTCTAAGATTTGTATTTGATCATGTATATGTTTTTGCTGTTTGTTCTTTGTTATAGGGCCAAAAAGATTGGAGAAGTGGTTTATCCATACATCTCCGTTTTGGATAGATAGCTCTTCGTGTTGTTGTTTGTTTAGTGTTTTCCAATTTTCCCAGAAGTGGTTAGAGTCTATGGATTATTCAATTACATTGAGCCGATTTCTGACGTGCTGTTCCTTATTTTTCCGTAGTGTATTTCTGTATTGTTTTAGTGATTCACCATAGTGAAGGCGTAGGCTCTGGTTTTCTGGGTCTCTATGTTTTTGGTTGGATAGGTTTCTCAATTTCTTTCTTAGGATTTTGCATTCTTCGTCAAACCATTTGTCATTGTTGTTACTTTTCTCTCTCTCTCTCTCCCTCTCTCTCAATTCAATTTCAATTTAAGAGCTTTATTGGCATGGGAAACTTGTGTTAACATTGCCAAAGCAAGTGAAATAGATAGTAAACAAATGTGAAATAAACAATATATATTAACAGTAAACATTACACTCAGAAGTTCCAAAAGAATAAAGACATTTCAAAGGTCATATTATGTAAATATACAGTATTTTAATGATGTGCAAATAGTTAAAGTACAAAAGGGAAAATAAATAAACATAAATATGAGTTGTTCTTCATTGGTTGCCCTTTTCTTGTGGCAACAGGTCACAAATCTTGCAGCTGTGATGGCACACTGTGGTTTTTCACCCAGTAGATAAGGGAGTTTATCAAAATTGGGTTTGTTTTCGAATACTTTGTGGATCTCTGTAATCTGAGGGAAATATGTGTCTCTAATATGGTCATACCTTTGGCAGGAGGTTAGGAAGTGCAGCTCAGTTTCCAGCTCATTTTGTGGGCAGTGTGCACATAGCCTGTCTTCTCTTGAGAGCCAGGTCTGCCTACGGCGGCCTTTCTCAATAGCAAGGCTATGTTCACTGAGTCTGTACATAGTCAAAGCTTTCCTTACGTTTGGGTCAGTCACAGTGGTCAGGTATTCTGCCACTGTGTACTCTCTGTTTAGGGCCAAATAGCATTCTAGTTTGCTCTGTTTTTTTGTTAATTCTTTCCAATGTGTCAAGTAATTCTCTTGACTGTCTCTCTCTCTGTCTGTCTCTCTCTCTCTCTCTGTCTGTATGTCTCTCTGTCTCTCTCTCTGTCTGTCTCTCTCTCTCTCTCTCTCTCTGTCTGTATGTCTCTCTGTATGTCTGTCTCTCTCTCTCAGACAGACAGACAGACAGACACAGACAGACAGAGAGATAGACAGACAGAGAGACAGACACAGTCAAACTGTCTGTCTGTCTGTCTGTCTGTCTGTCTGTCTGTCTGTCTGTCTGTCTATCTGTCTGAATTTCTGAGTCAGATTAGCATGTTTTATTAAATGGTCATCATCATCAGCACTTTTGTTGTAAAACGGTGGTCAAAAGACAGCGAGTTTTTCCCATTTGAACATAACGCCCAATTTTTTTTGTAAATAAATATTTCTTAATTTGATTGAAAATCATTCTCTCTCTCTACCTCTTTTTCTCTCTCATCCTCTCTCTCTCTCTCTCTCTCTCTCTCTCTCTCTCTCTCATCCTCTCTCTCTCTCTCTCTCTCTCTCTGCTAGGTTGAAGAGGAGGAAGAGGAGGGGGAGGAAATGGGGTATGCTGAAGGGACTTCAGACAGTGAGTACATGAGCCTGCATTGATTTCCGATTGGGTCTTGCCTTGTGTTGGGATAAAAGGCCGGAGTTTCATTCCAACTCACTGACTCACTCTCATGGATACGTCCCAAATGGCACCCTATTCCCAATATAGTGCACTACTTTAGACCAGAGCCCTATGGGCTCTTAATGAAAAGTGGTGCACTATATAGGGAATAGGATGCCATTTGAGACCTGTTTATCTGCTGTCACATCAACAGTCACCTCGCTGAATGCAGCAACATTTGAGACAGAGGCAGACAGACAGAGAGAGAGAGAGAGAGATAGAAATAGAGAGACAGAGAGACAGAGAGAGAGAGAGAGAGAGAGAGACAGAGAGAGATAGAGAGAGAGAGAGAGAGAGAGAGAGAGAGACAGACAGACAGAGAGAGAGAGAGAGAGAGAGAGAGAGAGACAGAGACAGAGACAGAGAGACAGAGAGACAGACAGAAAATCTCGTATAGCTCATATCCACTTTGCTGATGCTCTACACTGTTTCAAGCACTTAGTTAGGTGTGAGTGTTGTGTTTCCTGTGTGTGTTTTGTACTCCTATACTTGTGTGTGAGATCTGCCCCTTTCCTCTTGACTTCCAGGTTATCCCACAGAGAGGAAGAAACCTAAGGTTGTCTTTTTGATGGGTATGTACACACACATACATACACACACACACACACACACACACACACACACACACACACACACACACAGTGTTACAGCGGTTGTACCAGCATGAACCAACCTAATGAGATGTCTGGATAATTGGCTGTATTGTAGGGATAGGAGGCTGGATAATTGGCTGTTTAATTGGCTGGATAATTGAATGAACAACAGTTCAGTCCTGAGATTTTACACAGACTGGTAAACAGTGAACACCTCCCCAATCCCATGAACAACAGGGAACACCTCCCCAATCCCATGAACAACAGGGAACACCTCCCCAATCCCATGAACAGGGAACACCTCCCCAATCCCATGAACAGGGAACACCTCCCCAATCCCATGAACAACAGGGAACACCTCCCCAATCCCATGAACAGGGAACACCTCCCCAATCCCATGAACAACAGGGAACACCTCCCCAATCCCATGAACAGGGAACACCTCCCCAATCCCATGAACAGGGAACACCTCCCCAATCCCATGAACAACAGGGAACACCTCCCCAATCCCATGAACAACAGGGAACACCTCCCCAATCCCATGAACAGGGAACACCTCCCCAATCCCATGAACAGGGAACACCTCCCCAATCCCATGAACAGGGAACACCTCCCCAATCCTATGAACAGGGAACACCTCCCCAATCCCATGAACAGGGAACACCTCCCCAATCCCATGAACAACAGGGAACACCTCCCCAATCCCATGAACAGGGAACACCTCCCCAATCCCATGAACAACAGGGAACACCTCCCCAATCCCATGAACAGGGAACACCTCCCCAATCCCATGAACAACAGGGAACACCTCCCCAATCCCATGAACAGGGAACACCTCCCCAATCCCATGAACAACAGGGAACACCTCCCCAATCCCATGAACAACTGAATGAACAACAATTCAGTCCTGCGATTTTACACAGACTGGTAAAGGCCATGATGTATCAGCATATTCACACTAACTATCACTATGTCCCGGTGAAGGAGTTTAGTTACTGTATGCTAGGTCTAACCATCACACTAGCTAGCTAGCTACCTCCATCACAACTAGTGCTGCTAGGTCTAACCATCACACTAGCTAGCTAGCTACCTCCATCACAGCTAGCACTGCTAGGTCTAACCATCACACTAGCTAGCTAGCTACCTCCATCACAGCTAGCACTGCTAGGTCTAACCATCACACTAGCTAGCTAGCTACCTCCATCACAGCTAGCGCTGCTAGGTCTAACCATCACACTAGCTAGCTAGCTACCTCCATCACAACTAGCGCTGCTAGGTCTAACCATCACACTAGCTAGCTAGCTACCTCCATCACAACTAGCACTGCTAGGTCTAACCATCACACTAGCTAGCTAGCTACCTCCATCACAACTAGCGCTGCTAGGTCTAACCATCACACTAGCTAGCTAGCTACCTCCATCACAACTAGCACTGCTAGGTCTAACCATCACACTAGCTAGCTAACTACCTCCATCACAACTAGCACTGCTAGGTCTAACCATCACACTAGCTAGCTAGCTACCTCCATCACAGCTAGCACTGCTAGGTCTAACCATCACACTAGCTAGCTAGCTACCTCCATCACAGCTAGCACTGCTAGGTCTAACCATCACACTAGCTAGCTAGCTACCTCCATCACAGCTAGCACTGCTAGCTAGCTTTAACAGACAATGACAGCTCTAGCTGTAGTTTGTACAACAGTAAAGTAGTGTCTAACGTTACAGTCAGTTAGTCAGTATACCCTATGGACGAGCAAACAGTCAGTCAGTTAGTCAGTATACCCTATGGACGAGCAAACAGTCAGTCAGTTAGTCAGTATACCCTATGGACGAGCAAACAGTCAGTCAGTTAGTCAGTATACCCTATGGACGAGCAAACAGTCAGTCAGTTAGTCAGTATACCCTATGGACGAGCAAACAGTCAGTCAGTACCTGGAAAGTCCAGTTAGTCGTATACCCTATGGACGAGCAAACAGTCAGTCAGTTAGTCAGTATACCCTATGGACGAGCAAACAGTCAGTCAGTTAGTCAGTATACCCTATGGACGAGCAAACAGTCAGTCAGTTAGTTAGTATACCCTATGGACGAGCAAACAGTCAGTCAGTTAGTCAGTATACCCTATGGACGAGCAAACAGTCAGTCAGTTAGTCAGTATACCCTATGGACGAGCAAACAGTCAGTCAGTTAGTCAGTATACCCTATGGACGAGCAAACAGTCAGTCAGTTAGTCAGTATACCCTATGGACGAGCAAACAGTCAGTCAGTTAGTCAGTATACCCTATGGACGAGCAAACAGTCAGTCAGTTAGTCAGTATACCCTATGGACGAGCAAACAGTCAGTCAGTTAGTCAGTATACCCTATGGACGAGCAAACAGTCAGTCAGTTAGTCAGTATACCCTATGGACGAGCAAACAGTCAGTCAGTTAGTCAGTATACCCTATGGACGAGCAAACAGTCAGTCAGTTAGTCAGTATGCCGTATAAAATGGAGATCTTTCTCATTCTGTTATTAAAACCCCAGTCTACCCTACCTTTCTCATTCTGTTATTAAAACCCCAGTCTACCCTACCTTTCTCATTCTGTTATTAAAACCCCAGTCTACCCTACCTTTCTCATTCTGTTATTAAAACCCCAGTCTACCCTACCTTTCTCATAGTGTTATTAAAACTGTTCAGCCCCACAGTAAGCTGTGACAGCCAAGACTCCCCGCTGACACCCACCCGCCACTGCTGTCAAAATGAAATAATGTAGCAGCTGCATACAATGTGTGTTCCAAATGGCATCCTATTTCCTATATAGCGCACTACCTTTACCTTTTACATTTTAGTCATTTAGCAGACGCTCTTATCCAGAGCGACTTACAGTTGGTGCATTCATCTTAAGATAGCTAAGATGGGACAACCACATATCACAGGCATAGAAAGTACAGTAGGGTCAGCGCTAGAAAAGGGGGTCAAGTGAAACTGCTGGTTAAGGGGGGGGGGGGGGGGGGGGGGGGGGGGGGGTGTAGGGTTTTGAGCCTGAAGGTAGGGAGGGGCAGTTCTGTCTCTCACACACACACACACACACACACACACACACACACACACACACACAGTGTTACAGCGGTTGTACCAGCATGAACCAACCTAATGAGATGTCTGGATAATTGGCTGTATTGTAGGGATAGGAGGCTGGATAATTGGCTGTTTAATTGGCTGGATAATTGAATGAACAACAGTTCAGTCCTGAGATTTTACACAGACTGGTAAACAGGGAACTCCTCCCCAATCCCATGAACAGGGAACACCTCCCCAATCCCATGAACAACAGGGAACACCTCCCCAATCCCATGAACAACAGGGAACACCTCCCCAATCCCATGAACAGGGAACACCTCCCCAATCCCATGAACAACAGGGAACTCCTCCCCAATCCCATGAACAACAGGGAACACCTCCCCAATCCCATGAACAACAGGGAACACCTCCCCAATCCCATGAACAGGGAACACCTCCCCAATCCCATGAACAGGGAACACCTCCCCAATCCCATGAACAGGGAACACCTCCCCAATCCCATGAACAGGGAACACCTCCCCAATCCCATGAACAACAGGGAACACCTCCCCAATCCCATGAACAGGGAACACCTCCCCAATCCCATGAACAGTGAACACCTCCCCAATCCCATGAACAGGGAACACCTCCCCAATCCCATGAACAGGGAACACCTCCCCAATCCCATGAACAGGGAACACCTCCCCAATCCCATGAACAACAGGGAACTCCTCCCCAATCCCATGAACAACAGGGAACACCTCCCCAATCCCATGAACAGGGAACACCTCCCCAATCCCATGAACAGGGAACACCTCCCCAATCCCATGAACAGTGAACACCTCCCCAATCCCATGAACAGGGAACACCTCCCCAATCCCATGAACAGGGAACACCTCCCCAATCCCATGAACAACTGAATGAACAAATTGGATTTGTTTTCGAATTCTTTGTGGGTCTGTGTAATCTGAGGGAAATATGTATCTCTAATATGGTCATACATTTGGCAGGAAGTTAGGAAGTGCAGCTCAGTTTCTACCTCATTTTGTGGGCAGTGTGCACATAGCCTGTCTTCTCTTGAGAGCCAGATCTGCCTACGGCGGCCTTTCTCAATAGCAAGGCTATGCTCACTGAGTCTGTACATAGTCAAAGATTTCCTTAATTTGGGTCAGTCACAGTGGTCAGGTATTCTGCCACTGTGTACTCTCTGTTTAGGGCCAGATAGCATTCTAGTTTGCTCTCTTTTTTTGTAAATTCTTTCTAATGTGTCAAGTAATTATCTTTTTGTTTTCTCTTGATTTGGTTGGGTCTAATTGTGTTGCTGTCCTGGGGCTCTGTGGGGTCTGTTTGTGTTTGTGAACAGAGCCCCAGGACCAGCTTGCTTAGGGGACAGGTTAATCTCTCTGTAGGTGATGGCTTTGCTATGGAAGGTTTGGGAATCGCTTCCTTTTAGGTTGTTGTAGAATTTAACGGCTCTTTTCTGGATTTTGATCATCAGCGGGTATCGGCCTAATTCTGCTCTGCATGCATTATTTGGTGTTCATTGTGCACAGAGGATATTTTCGCAGAATTCTCCATGCAGTCTCAATTTGGTGTTTGTCCTATTTTGTGAATTCTTGCTTGGTGAGCGGACCCCAGATCTCACAACCATGAAGGGCAATGGGTTCTATAACTGATTCAAATATTTTTAGCCAGATCCTAATTGGTATGTCGAATTTTATGTTCCTTTTGATGGCATAGAAGGCCCTTCTTGCCTTGTCTCTCAGATCATTCACATCTTTGTGGAAGTTACCTGTGGCACTGATGTTTAGGCCGAGGTATGTATTGTTTTTTGCTCTAGGGCAACGGTGTCTAGATGGAATTTGTATTTGTGGTTCTGGCAACTGGACCTTTTTTGGAACACCATTATTTTTGTCTTAATGAGATTTACTGTCAGAGCCCAGGTCTGACATAATCTGTGCAGAAGATCTAGGTGCTGCTGTAGGCCCTCCTTGGTTGGTGACAGAAGCACCAGATCATCAGCAAACAGTAGACATTTGATTTCAGATTCTAGTAGGGTGAGGCCGGTTGCTGCAGACTGTTCTAGTGCCCTCGCCAATTCGTTAATATATATGTTGAAGAGGGTGGGGCTTAAACTGCATCCCTGTCTCACCCCACAGCCCTGTGGAAAGAAATGTGTGTGTTTTTTGCCAATTTTAACCGCACACTTGTTGTTTGTGTACATGGATTTTATAATGTTGTATGTTTTTCCCCCAACACCACTTAACATTAATTTATGTAGCAGACCCTCATGCCAAATTGAGTCAAAAGCTTTTTTGAAATCAACAAAGCATGAGAAGACTTTGCCTTTGTTTTGTTTTGTTTGTTTGTCAATGAAGGGGTGCAGTGTGAATACGTGGTCTGTCGTACGGTAATTTGGTAAAAAACCAATTTGACATTTGCTCAGTACATTGTTTTCACTGAGGAAATGTACGAGTCTTCTGTTAATGATAATGCAGAGGATTTTCCCAAGGTTGCTGTTGAAACATTTCCCACGGTAGTTATTGGGGTCAAATTTGTCTCCACCTTTGTGGATTGGGGTGATCAGTCCTTGGTTCCAAATATTGGGGAAGATGCCAGAGCTGAGGATGATGTTAAAGAGTTTAAGTATAGCCAATTGGAATTTGTGGCCTGTATATTTTATTATTTCATTGAGGATACCATCAACACCACAGGCCTTTTTGGGTTGGAGGGTTTGTATTTTGTCCTGTAGTTCATTCAATGTAATTGGAGAATCCAGTGGGTTCTGGTAGTCTTTAATAGTTGATTCTAAGATTTGTATTTGATATCCAGTGGGTTCTGGTAGTCTTTAATAGTTGATTCTAAGATTTGTATTTGATCATGTATATGTTTTTGCTGTTTGTTCTCTGTTATAGGGCCAAAAAGATTGGAGAAGTGGTTTATCCATACATCTCCATTTTGGATAGATAGCTCTTCATGTTGTTGTTTGTTTAGTGTTTTCCAATTTTCCCAGAAGTGGTTAGAGTCTATGGATTCTTCAATTCCATTGAGCTGATTTCTGATATGCTGTTCCTTCTTTTTCCGTAGTGTATTTCTGTATTGTTTTAGTGATTCACCATAGTGAAGGCGTAGGCTCAGGTTTTCTGGGTCTCTGTGTTTTTGGTTGGATAGGTTTCTCAATTTCTTTCTTAGGTTTTTGCATTCTTCGTTAAACCATTTGTCATTGTTACTTTTCTTCGGTTTTCTGTTAGAGATTTTTAGATTTGATAGGGAAGCTGTTTAGGTTTTCTACAGCCAAGTTTACACATTCACTATTACAGTGGAACATTTTGTCCAGGAAGTTGTCTAAAAGGGATTGAATTTGTTGTTTCCTAATTGTTTTCTGGTAGGTTTTGACAGTACTTTCCTATCTATAGCATTTCTTAATATTATTCAGTTCCTTTGGCTTTGATGCCTCATGATTGATTATTGCTCTGTTCAAGTAGACTGTGATTTTGCTGTGGTCTGATACGGGTGTCAGTGGGCTGACTGTGAACGCTCTGAGAGACTCTGGGTAGAGGTCAGTGATAATGTAGTCTACAGTACTTCTGCCAAGAGATGAGCTATAGGTGTACCTACCATAGGAGTCCCCTCGAAGCCTACCATTGACTATGTACATACCCAGCGTGCGACAGCTGCAGGAGTTGTGACCCGTTTTTGTTGGTTATGTTGTCGTAGTTGTGCCTAGGGGGGCATATGGGGGAGGGAATGCTGTCACCTCCAGGTAGGTGTTTGTCCCCCTGTGTGCTGAGGGTGTCAGGTTCTTGTCCAGTTCTGGCATTTAGGTCGCCACAGACTAGTACATGTCCCTGGGCCAGGAAATTATTGATTTTCCCCTCCAGGATGGAGAAGCTGTCTTCATTAAAGTATGGGGATTCTAGTGGGGGGATATAGGTAGCACACAGGAGGACATTTTTCTCTGTTGAGATAATTTCCTTTTGTATTTCTAGCCAAATGTAAAATTTTCCTGTTTTGATTAATTGAATAGAGTGAGTTAGGTCTGCTCTATACCAAATTAGCATACCCCCTGAGTCCCTTCCCTGTTTTACTCCTGGTAGTTTGGTGGATGGGACTACCAGCTCTCTGTAACCTAGAGGGCAACCAGTGGGTCCGTCTCCTCTATACCATGTTTCTTGTAGGATGACAATGTCTGTATTTCTGATTTTAGTGGGTGAGGTCCAGGTTCCTGCTCTTTAGGCCAAAGGCAGATGACCTCAGGCCTTGGATATTCCAGGATGAAATAGTGAAGGCTTTGTGTTCCATAAAGTGTCTAATGTTGTTGGTTGTGTGGTTTGGCCTCAGACCAGTAATTGTGAGCAGAGCCTGCTGAGCATCTGGTACATGCCATTGGCTTGGGCTAGTGTAAGAGTGGGGGTTGGGCCTGTTTGCCTGCTCACGGCCTGAGCGTATGTGTGACTTTCATGTTGAGGTCCTCTTTGCAGGAGTGGGGGGCATGGGGTGGGCAGGAGGGCCATAGGTCTGATCTGAGGGGGCCTAAATGTGGTGTGAACATGGTTGACTTGGGGGGGGGGGGGGGGTGTTGATTGGTTGGGGTGAGGGTGTGGATGTGGCTGGTGTTGCTGTGGTCTGGATCTGACGTGGGCTGTTCTGCTGGCTTCTCTGCGGGGGTGGCCAGCTCTCTAATGGGTTGTTCTCTGTCACCCGTCATCGTTCTCACCTTCTCCTCCAGCACTCTGATCCTCTCATCTAGTGCTCCTACCTTCTCCTCCAGCACTCTGATCCTCTCCTCTAGTACTCTCTCCTTCTCCTCCAGCACTCTGATCCTCTCCTCTAGTGCTCTCTCCTTCTCCTCCAGCACTCTGATCCTCTCCTCTAGTACTCTCTCCTTCTCCTCCAGCACTCTGATCCTCTCCTCTAGTGCTCCTACCTTCTCCTCCAGCACTCTGATCCTCTCCTCTAGTGCTCCTACCTTCTCCTCCAGCACTCTGATCCTCTCCTCTAGTGCTCTCACCTTCTCCTCCAGCACTCTGATCCTCTCCTCTAGTGCTCCTACCTGCTCCTGCTCTTTCTCCTGTTGATGTTGTCTCACCACAGTCCAGAGTGCAGACATGTCTCTCTCCCCTTCCAGCTCTCCAGGTCTAGTTAAGGGGGTGTTGTTGTGCTGGACTGTTGTCTGGGTCTGTGCTGACTGGAGTTTAATCACCTGCTGTTCCAGCTCCACCTGCCTTACCTCCAGCTGGGTGAATGTATCCTTCATTTCAATGAGGGTGTAGTACTCTGTGCAAAAAGTGTTTCTTGATTTTCCATAAGGAGGTTCTTTTTGTACTTTTTTTACATCCAGAGGGTACTGTATGCTAATAACCTCTGAGGGGGCTTCTAAGGCCTCTCCATTTGGTTGGGGTAGACTGTGCGACTCTCCTGCCATTGTTGGGCTCAAGGGCTTTGACACCTCTCGCTTCTCTCTCTCTTTTTCTCTGTCTTTTCCCCCCTCTATCTTTCTCTTCTCTCTCTCGTTCTATTTCTCTCTATAATTCTCTCCATCTGTCATCTTGGCTCTTCTCCAGGATATATTTCTATGGCTGCGTTTACACAGTTTTTTGCCACTGTGTCGAGCAACACCACATTGCCTGTTATGTTCTGTTTAACCAGCATCTGGTGTTCACTGGCTCATGTTCTATGGAATATGGAACCTTAGAACTATCGAATATGGAGTCTCATTATTCCACATCCTGTCAAGTAGAAGTACTAGAAAAGGTTTTAAATCATTACGTTTAATGTGAGCTGTAGTTATTATGGAGTAGCACATTGTGAGCATCTAATTAAAGTACTGTAGCAGTTTTATAGCAGATAGAACCTCACAGGCGTCCTGTACTTGAAGTTGATTCTAACCATTTCTGACAAGACATTTAGTCCAGGGAGGCAAGAGACCTTCACTTCAGCCGATCAGAGAGAGAGAGAGAGAGAGAGAGAGCGGAGAGGAGAGAGAAAGAGAGAGAGAGAGCGAGAGGAGATAGAGAGAGAGAGAGATAAAGAGAGGGAAGAGAGAGAGAAGAGAGAGGAAGGAGAGAGAAGAGGAGAGAGAGAAGATAGAGAGAGAGGAGATAGGATAGAGATTCGGTTAGAGTAGAGCCTCAGTGGGTACAGCCTTGGCGCTTGCAAACGCCAGGGTTGTGGGTTGTTTCCAACGGGGGGCCAGTATGAAAAATGTATGCACTCACTAACTGTAAGTCGCTCTGGATAAGAGCATCTGCTAAATGACTAAAATGTAGATTACGTTATTCAGGTAGATTACGTTATTCAGGTAGAGTATCTCTCTCCCTCTAGAGGGCTTCACAGCCAGCCAGGTCAACCGTGTCAGTTTTCGACGTATGTACATCCAGGTCTGAGGACGTCGGGAGATGAAGTGAAGAGCGGCCACAAGGAGCAGCAGTGAGCTTAAGTGTTACCTTAAGCAACTGCCTCCGATTTCAAAGGTTGCATGTTCGAATCCAATGATAGAAAGTGATTTTTATATATTTGTTTTAAGCCTATCTCAAACCCTTACCTTAACCATTCGGAGTTAATGCCTAACGTTCAGAATTTGGAGTTAATGCCTAAACTTAACCTCAACCACTTTGAAATTTGACGTTTAAACAACTTTGAAATTTGACGTTGGGGAAACCTGGATGAACGTCTAATTCTGACGTGACTGTGAGAGCTGGTAGTCACAGCAGTGTACCTCAGCCTCACTGAGCATTACATTATTCTACTTCCATGCTCCTGACTCCAGACAGACAGAGCCCTATATGCTGGACAACAATAAATAGGAACGCAACATGCAACCATTTCAAAGATTTTACTGAGTTACAGTTCATATGAGGAAATCAGTCAATTTAAATGAATTCATTATGCCCTAATCTATGGATTTCACATGACTGGGAATACAGATATGCATCTGTTGGTCACAGATATCTTAAAAAAAAAAAATGGGCCTCAGGATCTTGTCACGGTATTTCTGTGCATTCAAATTGCCATCGATAAAATGCAATTGTGTTCGTTGTCCGTAGCTTATGCCTGCCCATACCATAACCCCACCGCCACCATGGGGCACTCTGTTCACAACGTTGACATCAGCAAACCGCTCACCCACATGACACCATACGGTCTGCGGTTGTGAGGCCGATTGGACGTAATCCCAAATTCTCTAAAACGATGTTGGAGGCGGCTTATGGTAGAGAAATGAACACTCAATTCTCTGGCAACAGCTCTGGTGGACATTCCTGCAGTCAGCATGCCAATTGCACTCTCCTTCAAAACTTGAGACATCTGTGGCATTGTGTTGCACATTTTAGAGTGGCCTTTTATTGTCCCCAGCACAAGGTGCACCTGTGTAATGATCATGCTTTTTAATCAGCTTCTTGATATGCCACACCTGTCAGGTGGATGGATGATCTTGGCAAAGGAGAAATGCTCACTAACAGGGATGCAAAAAAAAAAGAAGCTTTTGGTGGGTATGGAACATTTCTGGGATATTTTATTTCAGCTCATGAAACATGGGACCAAGACTTTACATGATGCGTTTATATTTTTGTTCAGTAGAAATGGCAACATTTAGAATGTTGAATATTGTTCTAATTCTAGACATTCAGCATGGTTTAAATATTCCCTGTGTAATGTTAATGGGGGCTAACATGGCTGCCATAGAACGTTGAGGTGTCATGGAAATGCGTCAAAGTACAGAAACCGTTGGGGTGGGCTTTTGGGGTGGCCAAAGGAATAACTTATTCTGTGCTAACCTTGCTCTGAGCCACCAGCAATACATCATTACACCACACACACACACATATATACTGTACACAAACTGGAAATAACACAGGCACACACACACTCCTCTCATCCACCTCTGCATTACAGGATATGCTCTCTGAATCTCTCCACCCCCCCCCCCCACACTCTCTCTCTCTCTCTCTCTCTCTCCCTACCCCCCGTACTCTCTCTCTCTCTCTCGCTCCCACTCCCTACCCCCCTCTCTCGCTCTCCCTCTATCTCTATCTCTCTCTCCCTACCCCCTCTCTCTATCTCTCTCTCTCCCTACCCCCCTCTCTCACTCTCTCTCTCCCTACCCCCCTCTCTCACTCTCTCTCTCCCTAACCCCCCTCTCTCCCTCTATCTCTCTCCCTCTCCCCCCTCTCTCCTCTCTCTCTACCTCTCTCTCTCGATCCCTACCCCCACTCTCCCTCTCCCCCCCTCTCTCTCCCTACCCCCCTTTCTCCCCTCTCTCCCTCTATCTCCTCCCTACCCCCCCCCTCCCTCTCCCCCTCTCTCTTCCCTACCCCCCCGGTCTCCCCCCCCTCTCCTCTCTCTCTCCCTCCTCACCTCTCTCCCTCCTCTCCCCTCTCTCTCCCTACCCCCTTCTCTCCCCTCTCTCTCTCCTCTCTCTCCTCTCTCCCTACCCCCCCTCTCCCTCTCCCCCCTCTCTCTCCCTCCCCTCCCCCTTTCTCCCCTCTCTCCCTCTATCTCGTCTCTCCCTACCCCCCCTCCTCTTCCCCCTCTCTCTCCCCTCCCCCCCCTCTTCTCTCTTTCCCCTCTCTCCTCTCATCCCTCCCCCCCCACTCTCCCTCCCCCCTCTCCCCCATTTCTCCCCTCTCTCCCTCTCTCTCTCCTCTCCCTACCCCCCCCCCTCTCCCTCTCCCCCTCCTCTCCTCTCCCCCCTCTCCCTCTCCCCCCTCTCCCTCTCCCCCCTCTCTCTCCCTACCCCCCCTCTCCCTCTCTATCTCTCTCTCCCTACCCCCCCTCTCCCCCCTCACCCTTACCTCCTCTGTCTTCCAGGTGGGCCGGGCTCAGGGAAGGCTGTGCAGTGTGAGAGGATGGAGGAGAGGTTTGGACTGCGTCGTCTGTCTCCTGGTGACATCCTGTGTTCTGAACTACAGTCTCACAGTGAGAGAGGACGTTACCTACGAGACCTGCTGGAGAGGGGGGAGACGCTACCTGAGGTAACACACAGACACAGACAGACAGACAGAGGACAGACAGACAGACAGAGGACAGACAGACAGACAGACACACAGACAGAGAGGACAGACAGACAGACAGGGGACAGACAGACAGAGGACAGACAGACATACAGAGGACAGACAGACACACAGACAGAGAGGACAGACAGACACACAGAGGACAGACAGACAGACACACCTCACTCCAAGGTGTGTGCGTCGTGTGTTTGAAGGTCCTCACAGATATAGTAGTACAAAACACACACAGCCAAAAAAAACTCCTGAAAAAAAGAAATAAAAAAATACTACCAACTCTCCAGATCCTGCAGCCATGTCCAAAAACCAACTCTCCAGATCCTGCAGCCATGTCCAAAAACCAACTCTCCAGATCCTGCAGCCATGTCCAAAAACCAACTCTCCAGATCCTGCAGCCATGTCCAAAAACCAACTCTCCAGATCCTGCAGCCATGTCCAAAAACCAACTCTCCAGATCCTGCAGCCATGTCCAAAAACCAACTCTCCAGATCCTGCAGCCATGTCCAAAAACCAACTCTCCAGATCCTGCAGCCATGTCCAAAAACCAACTCTCCAGATCCTGCAGCCATGTCCAAAAACCAACTTGTGTCTCAGACAAACAGACAGAAAGACAGAGATCAGTTCATGTAAGATAGTGCTGCTGCTTCTCTCATCACTGACCCTAGGCCCCTGGGGGGGACGAGACAGAACCTTTAGCATCACTGACCCTAGGCCCCTGGGGGGAAAATACAGAACCTTTAGCATCACTGACCCTAGGCCCCTGGGGGGAAAATACAGAACCTTTAGCATCACTGACCCTAGGCCCCTGGGGGGAAGAGACAGAACCTTTAGCATCACTGACCCTAGGCCCCTGGGGGGTAAATACAGAACCTTTAGCATCACTGACCCTAGGCCCCTGGGGGGGAAGAGACAGAACCTTTAGCATCACTGACCCTAGGCCCCTGGGGGGAAGAGACAGAACCTTTAGCATCACTGACCCTAGGCCCCTGGGGGGGAAGAGACAGAACCTTTAGCATCACTGACCCTAGGCCCCTGGGGGGAAAATACAGAACCTTTCTGTGTCTCTGTCTCTGTCTGTGTCTCATAATGTGCCTCAGTCATTGTATCGTTCCAAAATGATGGAGTACGGAGCCAAAACAACAAATAATGTGTCACTGTCCCAATGCTTTTGGAGCTCACTGTACTGACAGCTGTTCCCTGTGTGTCTGTGTGTGTGTCTGTGTGTGTGTGTGTGTGTGTGTGTGTGTGTGCAGGGTCACAAGGGTTAGGGATACTCTACCATGACAAACAGTAACTAACACCCCGGGGTCTCGGTCTCTCACACACACAGTACAAACTACAGTTATGTCATGCTCAACTCTAGCTCAGCTTTAGCTCTGCCACAAACGGCTGTATTATCATGGTGCTGGATGAGAAATTATAAGATGTTGACTTAAACAAATGGTACAGTATAGTTGCCTAGCAACACAGCTGTAAAGGGCAACTACCTACCTGATTATTCTATGTGAACTACTTTCAATATCAGCCATCTGACTTTTGATGTGTGTGTCTGTGTGTGTGTGTGTGTGTGTTCCCAGGACACGCTGCTGGAGCTGCTATGTGAGTGTGTGACCTTATCTCTGCGGCACGGGAGGGGCGTACTCGTAACCAACTTCCCCCGAGACCTACGACAAGCTCTGGAGTATGAAGCTAAGGTACAGAGAGAGAATGGAGGGAAGAGACAGGAGACAAGGATGGGTGGGAGGGAGAGAGAGAGAGAGAGAGAAAGAGAGAGAGAAAGAGAGAGAGAAAGAGAGAGAGAGAGGTGGAGGGATAGAGAGAGAGAGGGAAAGAGAGAGAGAGGGAGAAAGAGGAGAGAGAGAGGGAGGGAGAGAGAGAGGTGGAGGGAGAGAGAGAGAGAGAGGAAGAGAGAGGAAAGTGGAGGAGAGATAATTTCTCCGCTTGAGGCCCCCCCATGCTCATGCGTCAGTCGAATTAACATAATAAATACAATAAATCATAATCCGTCTGTTTAAGCTAGAGATATGTTTTTTGGTCAGCGTTCCGCATCTGCGTTGAAACATGGCAGAGCTACAGAGCTGTTTGTCAGACCAGGAGACATCCTGAAAATTGGTCTTCTCACGAATATGTCTGTAGCATCCGAACGGTTTGGGATACACATTAATATGACCCCTCTATGGCAAGATGAGACTCCCCCAAACATGATGCAGTTCTCCCTTTTGCTCTATGACCCTCACAAATGTCACGGAACCTGTCTGAAGGTAACCTGGTACCGGGCTGAAAAAACGAAAGGAAGTGAATAGGGCAAATTCACATCAAAGGTATACATGTCATTCCACATAATTAATATAATCCACGTTTTTCTCATAATAGTAGAAACAAGTGTCATTAAATCACCCACAGACTGGTTCATAATGGAAAGTGTTCACGTGCATTGTTTCACGCGATATGATTGCAAACGTGACTTTCATTAATATTAAGCGAGACAATAAAATAATAACAAATCTCATTAGCAATAGAACGGCAAAAATCTTACCAGACTTGATACATATCAATCAAACAGTGTTTATTAAAAATAGACACTTACAAACAAATACAAGAACATGTTTCAGATAAAAACAAGACATAGATTTATCAATAATGGCTGTTGATGCCTAAAAGGCTTTCAACCGTCTTGAATGGCCTTTTCTATTCAAAACTTTGGAAGCTTTCAACTTTCCAGCTGAGATAATTTATGTAATAAAAAATATTATATAAAATGCCCTAAAGCAAAAATATACACAAATAATACATTATCTGATGAAATTGCTTTCGACAGGGGCACAAGACAGGGATGTCCCCTCTCCCCTCTCCTGTTTGCACTGGCAATTGAACCGCTTGCAGAAAGAATTAAGACAGGACCCAAACGTAACAGGTATCAGTATTGATAAACATGAATATAAACGAAACTTATTTGTAGATGATCTCCTGATACGCCTGACCAATATTGAAAACTCAATTCCCCCCTTGTTAAACAATAATAATGGCAATAGGAATTCTTTTTACAATAACTCATGATGTACAGCAATCCTTTAAGTTACCCACAAACATTATCAAATACTTAGGATGCTTAATAAGTGACAACAAACAACATATATATAGATAACTTTATCCCGTCACTCAACAATATGAAAGCAGACCTAATTAAATGGATCTATCTTCCCATAAATCTTAAAAGGTAGAATAAACCTCTTCAGAAATGGCACGGCTCTCAAAGTTTGTATATTTATTCTCGATAATACCATTTACCCCATCGAAGACATTCTTTTAAAAAGTAAACTTGGTCATAACAGACTTTATAAAATAATAATGTTACAGAGGCATAGATATCTGTAACGTTCTCATTCATCATTGTTCACGATTCATTCAGGAATTATAATTATTTAATATTATTATTTAAATTACTATCTGTAATCATGGTAGAATATATTATATTCTTGTTTACAATAAGTCACTCCAAAATGACACAATACATTATTTATCATTCATTTCTATCGGGCACAAAATAATCTGAAACACAACCAAAAACAAACAGCAAAAGCGTCCAACAAGTTTGTTGAGTCACAAGCTTAATGTAGTCATTGCTTGCTAGGAATATGGGACCAAATACTAAACTTTTGACTACTTTAATACACATATAAGTGTAGAATTTGTCCCAATACTTTCGGTCTCCTAAAATGGGGGGGATTATGTACAAAAAGCGCTGTAATTTCTAAACGGCTGACAGTCTTTAACCTCATAGTATCAATCATTGTATCGTTCCAAAATGATGGAGTACGGAGCCAAAACAACAAATAATGTGTCACTGTCCCAATGCTTTTGGAGCTCACTGTACTGACAGCTGTTCCCTGTGTGTGTGTGTGTGTGTGTGTGTGTGTGTGTGTGTGTGTGTGTGTCTCAGATAGGGGAACCCAGCGCTGTGGTGCTGTTGGACTGTTCCCCTGACACTGTGTTCTCCAGGCTGCAGTGTCGTGGCCTGTCCCGCTCCGCCACCCAAACCACAGGCTGCCTCCCAGAGAGAGAAAGAGACACCAGCAGGAGGGTAGAGGGATTCACCAGCAACTGCCAACCTGTGACATCACACTACGAAACCAGGAGGCTCCTGCACAAGGTGAGTCAGGTGCTAAGGTCCGATTCTCTACCCTTCATCCGAAAGTGTATACTTGTTCACTTCCCTTCAAAGAAAATAAGTGGTATAAGAAACATGGTGGAACTCCCTCTAGCCCTGGTGGAACTCCCTCTAGCCCTGGTGGAACTCCCTCTAGCCCTGGTGAGACTCCCTCTAGCCCTGGTGGAACTCCCTCTAGCCCTGGTGGAACTCCCTCTAGCCCTGGTGGAACTCCCTCTAGCCCTGGTGGAACTCCCTCTAGCCCTGGTGGAACTCCCTCTAGCCCTGGTGGAACTCCCTCTAGCCCTGGTGGAACTCCCTCTAGCCCTGGTGGAGACTCCCTCTAGCCCTGGTGGAACTCCCTCTAGCCCTGGTGGAAACTCCCTCTAGCCCTGGTGGGAACTCCCTCTAGCCCTGGTGGAACTCCCTCTAGCCCTGTTGGAACTCCCTCTAGCCCTGGTGAGACTCCCTCTAGCCCTGGTGAGACTCCCTCTAGCCCTGGTGAGACTCCCTCTAGCCCTGGTGGAACTCCCTCTAGCCCTGGTGGAACTCCCTCTAGCCCTGGTGGAACTCCCTCTAGCCCTGGTGGAACTCCCTCTAGCCCTGGTGGAACTCCCTCTAGCCCTGGTGGAACTCCCTCTAGCCCTGGTGGAACTCCCTCTAGCCCTGGTGGAACTCCCTCTAGCCCTGGTGAAACTCCTTCTAGCCCTGGTGAAACTCCCTCTAGCCCTGGTGGAACTCCCTCTAGCCCTGGTGGAACTCCCTCTAGCCCTGGTGGAACTCCCTCTAGCCCTGGTGGAACTCCCTCTAGCCCTGGTGGAACTCCCTCTAGCCCTGGTGGAACTCCCTCTAGCCCTGGTGAGACTCCCTCTAGCCCTGGTGGAACTCCCTCTAGCCCTGGTGGAACTCCCTCTAGCCCTGGTGGAACTCCCTCTAGCCCTGGTGGAACTCCCTCTAGCCCTGGTGGAACTCCCTCTAGCCCTGGTTGAACTCCCTCTAGCCCTGGTGAAACTCCCTCTAGCCCTGGTGGAACTCCCTCTAGCCCTGGTGGAACTCCCTCTAGCCCTGGTGGAACTCCCTCTAGCCCTGGTGGAACTCCCTCTAGCCCTGGTGGAACTCCCTCTAGCCCTGGTGGAACTCCCTCTAAGCCCTGGTGGAACTCCTCTAGCCCTGGTGGAACTCCCTCTAGCCCTGGTGGAACTCCCTCTAGCCCTGGTGGAACTCCCTCTAGCCCTGGTGGAACTCCCTCTAGCCCTGGTGGAACTCCCTCTAGCCCTGGTGGAACTCCCTCTAGCCCTGGTGGAACTCCCTCTAGCCCTGGTGAGACTCCCTCTAGCCCTGGTGAGACTCCCTCTAGCCCTGGTGAAACTCCCTCTAGCCCTGGTGGAACTCCCTCTAGCCCTGGTGAGACTCCCTCTAGCCCTGGTGAAACTCCCTCTAGCCCTGGTGAAACTCCCTCTAGCCCTGGTGGAACTCCCTCTAGCCCTGGTGGAACTCCCTCTAGCCCTGGTGGAACTCCCTCTAGCCCTGGTGGAAACTCCCTCTAGCCCTGTGTGAAACTCCCTCTAGCCCTGGTGAGACTCCCTCTAGCCCTGGTGAGACTCCCTCTAGCCCTGGTGAGACTCCCTCTAGCCCTGGTGAAACTCCCTCTAGACCCTGGTGGAACTCCCTCTAGCCCTGGTGGAACTCCCTCTAGCCCTGGTGGAACTCCCTCTAGCCCTGGTGGAACTCCCTCTAGCCCTGGTGAGACTCCCTCTAGCCCTGGTGGAACTCCCTCTAGCCCTGGTGGAACTCCCTCTAGCCCTGGTGAAACTCCCTCTAGCCCTGGTGAAACTCCCTCTAAGCCCTGGTGAACTCCCTCTAGCCCTGGTGAAACTCCCTCTAGCCCTGGTGGAACTCCCCTCTAGCCCTGGTGGAACTCCCTCTAGCCCTGGTGAGACTCCCTCTAGCCCTGGTGGAACTCCCTCTAGCCCTGGTGGAACTCCCTCTAGCCCTGGTGGAACTCCCTCTAGCCCTGGTGAAACTCCCTCTAGCCCTGGTGGAACTCCCTCTAGCCCTGGTGAGACTCCCTCTAGCCCTGGTGGAACTCCCTCTAGCCCTGGTGGAACTCCCTCTAGCCCTGGTGGAACTCCCTCTAGCTAAGCCCTGGTGGAACTCCCTCTAGCCCTGGTGGAACTCCCTCTAGCCTGGTGAACTCCTTAGCCCTGGTGAGACTCCCTCTAGCCCTGGTGAACTCCCTCTAGCCCTGGTGAAACTCCCTCTAGCCCTGGTGGAACTCCCTCTAGCCCTGGTGGAACTCCCTCTAGCCCTGGTGGAACTCCCTCTAGCCCTGGTGAGACTCCCTCTAGCCCTGGTGGAACTCCCTCTAGCCCTGGTGGAACTCCCTCTAGCCCTGGTGAGACTCCCTCTAGCCCTGGTGGAACTCCCTCTAGCCCTGTGGTGAACTCCCTCTAGCCCTGGTGGAACTCCCTCTAGCCCTGGTGGAACTCCCTCTAGCCCTGGTGGAACTCCCTCTAGCCCTGGTGGAACTCCCTCTAGCCCTGGTGGAACTCCCTCTAGCCCTGGTGGAACTCCCTCTAGCCCTGGTGGAACTCCCTCTAGCCCTGGTGGAACTCCCTCTAGCCCTGGTGGAACTCCTCTACCCTGGTGGAACTCCCTCTAGCCCTGGTGGAACTCCCTCTAGCCCTGGTGAAACTCCCTCTAGCCCTGGTGGAACCTCTACCTGTGACTCTTAGCCCTGGTGGAACTCCTCTACTGAGTCCCTCAGCCTGGTGGAACTCCCTCTAGCCCTGGTGGAACTCCCTCTAGCCCTGGTGGAACTCCCTCTAGCCCTGGTGAACTCCTCTAGCCTGGTGAACTCCCTCTAGCCCTGGTGAATCCCTCTAGCCCTGGTGGAACTCCCTCTTGCCTGGTGAGAACCTTACTCTATAAAGTCCTTCAGGAAGGTGGAATCGCTCAACCGTACACAGACCTCAACCGTACACATAACCCGACACATAAACACCAAACCGTACACATCAACACTCAAACGTACACACAACTCAACCGTACACATCAACACTCAAAACGTACACATCAACACTCAAAACGTACACATCAACCCGTACACATCAACACTCAAACCGTACACATCAACCCGTACACATCAACACTCAAACCGTACACATCAACCCGTACACATCAACACTCAAAACGTACACATCAACACTCAAACCGTACACATCAACACTCAAACCGTACACATCAACCCGTACACATCAACACTCAAACCGTACACATCAACACTCAAACCGTACACATCAACACTCAAACCGTACACATCAACACTCAAACCGTACACATCAACACTCAAACCGTACACATCAACCCGTACACATCAACACTCAAACCGTACACATCAACCCGTACACATCAACACTCAAACCGTACACATCAACACTCAAACCGTACACATCAACACTCAAAACGTACACATCAACACTCAAAACGTACACATCAACACTCAAACCGTACACATCAACCCGTACACATCAACACTCAAACCGTACACATCAACACTCAAACCGTACACATCAACACTCAAAACAGCCGGCCGTGACCAGGAGACCAATGAGGCGGTGCACAAGGGAGGGTTTGGCCGGCTGGGATTTCCTTGTCCCATCGCGCTCTTGCCACTCCTTGTGGCGGGCCTGGCGCCTCCAAGCTTCGGTCGCCAGCTGGACGGTGTTTCCTCCGACACAGTGGTGCGGCTGGCTTCCGGGTTAAGCGATTAGTGTGTCAAGAAGCAATATGGCTTGGCAGGGTCGTGTTTTGGAGGACGCATGGCTTTCGTCATTCGCCTCTCCCGAGTCTGTAGGGGAGTTGCAGCGACGGGACAAGATTGTAACTACCAATTGGATATCACGAAAAAGGGGTGAAAGTACAACTAAAAATATATATATATTTTAATTGCTTTGCCACATTTTTTGCAGTATTACTTTAGTGACTTGTTGCAAACATGATGCATGTTTTTGGAATATTTGTGTTCTTTAGGTTAGTATTGTGGAGTAACTACGATGTGGTTGATCCATCCTCAGTTTTCTCCTATCACAGCCATTAAAATCTCTGTAACTGTTTTAAGTCAACATTGGCCTCATGGTGAAATCCTTGAGTGGTTTCCTTCCTTTCTGGCAAATTAGTTAATTTTAAATTCAGGCTGTAACACAACAAAATGTGGAAGAAGTCAAGGGGTGTGAATACTTTCTGAAGGCACTGTAGGTGTGTTTGTTGTGTCGGTATGCGGGTGTGTGTTACAGTGGCTTGTGAAAGTATTCACCCCCCTTGGCATTTTTCCTATTTTGTTGCCTTACAACCTGGAATTAAAATTGATTTTTTGGGGGTTTGTATCATTTGATTTACACAACATGCCTACCACTTTGAAGATGCAAAATATTTTTTATTGTGAAACAAACATGAAATAAGACAAAAAAACAGAAAACTTGAGCGTGCATAACTATTCACCCCCCCAAAGTCAATACTTTGTAGAGGCACCTTTTGCAGCAATTACAGCTGCAAGTCTCTTGGGGTGTGTCTCTATAAGCTTGGCACATCTAGCCACTGGGATTTTTGCCCATTCTTCAAGGCAAAACTTCTCCAGCTCCTTCAAGTTGGATGGGTTACGCTGGTGTACAGCAATCTTTAAGTCATACCACAGATTCTCAATTGGATTGAGGTCTGGGCTTTGACTTGGCCATTCCAAGACATTTAAATGTTTCCCCTTAAACCACTCGAGTGTTGCTTTAGCAGTATGCTTAGGGTCATTGTCCTGCTGGAAGGTGAACCTCCGTCCCAGTCTCAAATCTCTGGAAGACTGAAACAGGATTTCCTCAAGAATTTCCCTGTATTTAGCGTCATCCATAATTTCTTCAATTCTGACCAGTTTCCCAGTACCTGCCGATGAAAAACATCCCCACAGCATGATGCTGCCACCACCATGCTTCACTGTGGGTATGATGTTCTCGGGGTGATGAGAGGTGTTGGTTTTGCACCAGACATAGCTTTTTCCTTGATGGCCAAAAAGCTCAATTTCTGTTTCATCTGACCAGAGTACCTTCTTCCATATGTTTGGGGAGTGTCCCACATGCCTTTTGGCTTATTTTTTTATTTAAGCAATGGCTTTTTTTCTGGCCACTCTTCTGTAAAGCCCAGCTCTGTGGAGTGAATGGCTTAAAGTGGTCCTATGGATAGATACTCCAATCTCCGCTGTGGAGCTTTGCAGCTCCTTCAGGGTTATCTTTGGTCTCTTTGTTGCCTCTCTGATTAATGCCCTCCTTGCCTGGTCCGTGAGTTTTGGTGGGCGGCCCTCTCTTGGCAGGTTTGTTGTGGTGCCATATTCTTTCCATTTTTTAAATAATGGATTTAATGGTGCTCCGTGGGATGTTCAAAGTTTCGGATATTTTTTTATAACCCAACCCTGATCTGTACTTCTCCACAACTTTGTCCCTGACCTGTTTGGAGAGCTCCTTGGTCTTCATGGTGCTTGGTGGTGCCCCTTGCTTAGTGGTGTTGCAGACTCTGGGGCCTTTCAGAACAGGTGTATATATACTGAGATCATGTGACACTTAGATTGCACACAGGTGGACGTTATTTAACTAATTATGTGACTTCTGAAGGTAATTGGTTGCACCAGATCTTATTTAGGGGCTTCATAGCAAAGGGGGTGAATACATATGCACGCACCACTTCTCCGTTATTTATTTTTTAGAATTTTGTTAAACAAGTTATTTTTTTCATTTCACTTCACCAATTTGGACTATTTTGTGTATGTCCATGACATGAAATCCAAATAAAAATCTATTTAAATTACAGGTTGTAATGCAACAAAATAGGAAAAACACCAAGGGGGATGAATACTTTGGCAAGGCACTGTATATGTGTGTATGTGCGTATGTAGTGAATGTTTTGGGACAGTACATACAGTGCATTCAGAAAGTATTCAGACCCCTTGACTTTTTCAACATTTTGTTACGTTACAGCCTTATTAAAAAATGTTAGTTTTTTTAAAAATCCTCAGCAATCTACACACAATACCGGATAATGACAAAGCAAAAACAGTTAAAAAAAATTAAATAATTAGCAACAAAACAAACAAATACAGATAAAGATTTAAGTAAGTATTCAGACCCTTTGCTATGAGAGTCGAAATTGAGCTCAGGTGCTTCCTGTTTTCATTGATCATCCTTGAGATGTTTCTACCACTTGATTGGAGTCCACCTGTGGCACAGATCTGGGGAAGGGTACCAAAACATTTCTGCAGCATTGAAGGTCCCCAAGACCACAGTGGCCTCCATCAGTGAAGTTTGGAACCACCAAGACTCTTCCTAGAGCTGGCTGCCCGGCCAAACTGAGCATTCGGGGGAGAAGGGCCTTGGTCAGGGAGGTGACCAAGAACCCGATGGTCACTCTGACAGAGCTCCAGAGTTCCTCTGTGGAGATGGGAGAACCTTTGAGAAAGGACAACCATCTCTGCAGCACTCCACCAATCAGACCTTTATGGTAGAGTGGCCAGATGGAAGCCACTCATCAGTAAAAGGCACATGACAGCCCGCTTGGAGTTTGCCAAAAGGCACCTAAAGGACTCTCAGACCATGATAAACAAGATTCTCTGGTCTGATGAAACCAAGATTGAACTCTGACCTAAATGCCAAGCGTCACGTCTGGAGGAAACCTGGCACCATCCCTACAGTGAAGCATGGTGGTGGCAGCATCCTGCTTTGGGGATGGTTTTCAGCGGCAGGGACTGGGAGACTAGTCAGGATTGAGGGAAAGATGAACGGAGCAAAGTACAGAGAGATCCTTGATGAAAACCTGCTCCAGAGCGCTCAGGACTTCAGACTGGGGCGAAGGTCCACCTTCCAACAGGACAACGACCCTAAGCACACAGCCAAGACAACACAGGAGTGGCTTCGGGACAAGTCTCTGAATGCCCTTGAGTGGCCCAGCCAGAGCCCGAACTTGAACCCAATCGAACATCTCTGGAGAGACCTGAAAATAGCTGTGCAGCAACGCTCCCCATCCAACCTGAGAGCTTGAGAGGATCTGCAGAGAAGAATGGGAGAAACTCCCCAAATACAGGTGTGCCAAGCTTGTAGCGTCATACCCAAGAAGACTCAAGGCTGTAATCGCTGCCAAAGGTGCTTCAACAAAGTACTGAGTAAAGGGTCTGAACACTTATGTAAATGTGATATTTCCGTTTTTTATTTTCTAAAAAACCTGTTTTTGCTCTGTCATTATGGGGTATTGTGTGTAGATTGATGAGGATTTTATTTTATCAATTTTAGAATAAGGCTGTAACGTAACAAAATGTGGAAAAAGTCAAGGGGTCTGAATACTTTCCGAATGCACTGTATAGTCTAGTGAGTGTGCTTAGGGTCAATGCAAGATAGAGTCAGTGCAGATAGTTTGGGTAGCATTAATTGACTATTTAGCAGTCTGGCTACTTAGCGGTCTTATGGCTTGGGGGTAGAAGCTGTCTCTGAGCCTGTTGGTCCGATCAGCTCCTTGGTCTTGCTCACGTTGAGGGAGAGGTTGTTGTCCTGGCACCACACTGCTAAGTCTCTGACCTCCTCCCTATAGGCTGTCTCATTGCAGTCGGTGATCAGGCCTACCACCATTGTGACGTCAGCAAACTTGATGATGGTTTTGGAGTGGTGCATGGCCACGCAGTCGTGGGTGAACAGGGAGTACAGGAGGGGATTAAGGACACACCCCTGAGGGCCCCCCGTGTTGAGGGTCAGCGTGTGGGGATGTGTTGTTGCCTACCCTCACCACCTGGGCCCGGCCCGTCAGGAAGTCCAGGATCCAGTTGCAGAGGGAGAGGTTCAGACCCAGAGTCCCTAGCTTAGTCCCTAGCTTGAAGGGCACTATTGTGTAGAACGCTGAACTGTAGTCAATCAACAGCATTCTCACACAGTTATTTCCCCTCTTGTCCAGGTGGAAGTGTGAAGTGCAATTGAGATTGCTTCATCTGTAGATCTCTTGTGGGTATGTGAATTGGATTGGGTCCAGGGTGTCTGGGATGACGGCGTTGATGTGTGTCATGACCAGCCTTTCAAAGCACTTCATAATTACAGTTGTGAGTGCTACGGGGCGATAGTCTTTTAGGCAGGTTACCTCGGAGATCTTGGGAACTGGGACAACGGTGGTCAGTTTGAAACATGTTGGGATTACAGACTAGGATAGATTGAATATATCTGTGAAGAAACTTGCCAGCTGGTCTGAGTATGCTTTGAGAACACGCCCTGGTATTCCCGGCGGCCTTGTGATTGTTAACGTGTTTAAACGTTTTGCTCACATCGGCCACGGAGAGTGAGACACAGTCATCCTTAGCCGGATACAGAGCTCTCAACATGAAAAAAAAAAAAACTAAATTATTTAATAGATGGACGAAATCACTCAGTGGACGTTTAGGAGAAAATTCTCTGTTACCAGTTAATATGAAATAGCGCCAATATTGTACGGTCACTAAGTATGATCATATTTATTTTACAGTTATAAGAAATATGAAATCTTATAGTAAGTCATTTATATTTTGATTGTTACTATATTTAGAAAGGATTTCAATCATTTCAAGCCCTATTGCCCCACTTTTGTTGAATAGGAAAATAAATCATATTATTTTCTTCATATTTTCATAATATTTGTACTATGTATTTGAGCGTGTGTCCTCAAAAGTGAATACACCTCAGCAATTTATAACTATTTTGACCAGAAGGTGAGTTCCAGACCTTTCTAAAACTATGAAACATTAACAGTTATTGTTTATGGCCATCTCATGAAAAATTAATACTTTTAGGTCTGTTTAGGCGGAAATCTAAATGTTGCCCTATATTTCCAGAGGTTAAAAGGTGCATTGTTGGCTGTCTAACACATTGCTATATAACAAGCCTTGCATTGAATCCTGATCTTCGTTTGTTTTCATGTGTTTTCCCCCAGATTGATGCAGAGAGGCCTCCTG